TTTTTTTTTTTTTTTTAAATCCCCATCCCATAAGGGCCCTCCAGTAAGTATGGAGGACAGCATGGACAGGTGAGAACCTTGGGACAAAAATAAGTTATGGTGCTGTCGTAACAATCCAAGGAAGAGCTACTGAGTTTCCAAACTAAGGCAGTGACTATGGGGATAAATAGGGAACTGACTGTAGAGATGCTTTACAGGTAGAACCAACAGGTCCTGCCTGAGGTCTCATTATGTTGAACATTAAGGGGAAGGTTGAATCCAAGATAACATACAATTTCTAGCTCAGCCGAACTGGTTGATGAGCCTTACATATATGATCTATGACAAAGAAGGAAAAACCTACAACAACAAATTTGAGTAGCCACTGGGAAACTCACGTTTAGTGCCCAGTGGCGATATGTACAGTCTGGACGGAGCTTAAGAGAAAGGTGTGAGCTGTAAAATGGAGGGTTGTCTTCCATTCTTAGATGGTAAATGAGGTATGGGAGTGTATGAGTTCACCTAGGAAAAATAGGGTCGCTATTAAATTTGGCTCATTGTTAAAATAATGCCCATCTAGTTGAATGCTTACAATGCCGAGTGAAGCATTTGGTAAACATTCTCTCTCACAAAGCCCCGATAGAGTAGGTAGTTTTGATCCTAGTCAACTGGAGGAGGAACATCTAAGAAGTTAAGTGTCTCGCCTACGGTTCCGCACCTACTGGTAGCGTTGCCAGGCTGTGAATTCAGGTCTGTCAGATCAGTGGTTCTTAATCTCTTTTTCGCCCCCCGCCAGATTTCAAGAAAGGAGTATGGACCCTTGGGGGGTGGAGGGTGGGGGGGCTGCTTTGGAAAATGATTGTTAAAAGTTTCGTTGTTTAGCAGAAAATAATCATTTTTACATTTTGTGCAAAACGTTCTGCATTTTCCGATCATTTAAATGAGCACTACATACTGTCAGTGTGAATGTAGAGCCGTGAAAAGCATTTTGCTGTTTCTTTGAGCTTGGTTATAAAAGCAATCTCCTGTGTTAAAATGTGTGAATAGTTTGATAATTTGTACACGTAATCAAGAGCATCTCAGCTGGACTTTGTGTTGGCTGCTGTATAGAACATGAACAAATGTCAAGGGATAGAAAATTACTTTGGATATTTAAAAGAGAAGAAATATATAGTCTATTTGTTTTGTAACGAGTTTCTGTAAATAAAATAATTTATACTATTTATAAGAAAAGGTTGTGCTTTGCTTTATGAGAAATTAGTTTGTGGAACAAACATGTTACTAAATGGGCAATAAAATTAGGACTTCTCAATAAATAAGGTTGGCTGCATGAAATATTTTACATGTTTCTGCCTCGTGATACTAAACCCCTTTCAATCTAGTCTGACTTGGCTTCATTTTTTGGCATCAGACACCCTTGTGAAGCACCTTTGGTTTCCTTCCCTTCTGCGTAAGCCAAGTACAGGGCTTACGATGTTTCCCTTCTTGGGCACAAAGCTTTGTTTTGGAGAAATTAATAACTGGGTAAACTGTGAACACTATTGCAGGTTTGTCAACAAAGGGAAGTTGATAGATTGAGAAACACGTTCTGTTTGTACTTGCTTATGTGCAGATTTGATGGCGTGTGGTCAGTTTTCGTTCTTCTCCAGAGGTAAGTTTTGTTTCCACAGCTAGCGTGATCCCTTCCTTGCTTTTACGTACGACTTCCCTCCCTGGAAGCGCAAGTGCATTTTGGTAGTATTCAGAGCACAACATAATCTTTTATCTGTAGAAACTGGGCCAGTGTTTCCATTTGCAAATCATTCTAAGAAATTAAAAATTATTCTCTTCTTAACATAGTAAGGGAAGCAACCGATTTGTGTGTTGGAGAAAATGTCCACATATTACACAAAGGAGCCAGTCTGGTTTCAACCCCCACCACGCCACGGACTTCCCATTCCCTCCTTAGATCAACTCCTAAAATCATTTCTGAGGAGCTCCTTTCGCCTCAGGCGTCCTTCTTAAACTTCCTGGGAAGAGGCTCACTCAATTTCTTAACCCTTTTTACTTCCATTCCCTTGCAGGTAACCTGGCCGTGGACAGCAGGAGACTCTCCCGATTCAAGGAAGGGGGGTTGGCAGGAAGGCAGGGTAAGAAGGTCATTGTCGGCAGAGGGAGCAGACTGGGCAAGCACAGGCGGGAAGCAATGTGGAAGAGAACCATTCTGGGTGGAGCTTCTGGAAAGGAGGGGCTGAAGGGTTGCAGAAGTCGGCACCAGGTTGTCGAGGACCTGAAGTCATGGGGCCTTCACCATCAGGAGCATACAGTTTAACCAACTGTAACTGTCACAGCCCAGAGAGTCCTGGGGCCCGGTACCACCGTGCTGCCGGCGTCAGAAGTAAAAGCCATTCAGATCTTTCCCTTTTTCTTGCACTTCCCTCTCTTATGCCTCAAACCTCATCCTTTACACCTTTCTCTCTTCTCTCCTCCTCCCCCTCCCCATCTTAATCAAAAAGCTCTCCTCTAAATCAAGCCCACGGCCCTGCCCCTTTTCATCCCACTTTCTACTCTTGCAGTCTTTTCTTTCTAGTAAGAAACTTTTGCTGCTGTTGCTCATGGGAGTTAATTAAACTTGTCTTTCATTTTGTAAGGCTGTGTGATTCTTGGCACTTCTCACCCCTTTTTCCATAACCAAAGCCCAGGGACCAAAGCTGGTACTAGCAGAGATTCTCTTTGAGGGGAGGAGGAGAGGGAGCCAAAGGAAAAAGTTTTCAGGAAGAAGGGAGATTCAAACACATAATTTAATCCCTTTTTTTTTTTTTTTT